TGGAGGACAACGGTCAATACATACAGTTTTACAACAGGAGAAAGAGAAGGAAGTGACATTACAGATGATTATGCAAGGAATTCAGAAGTTTGAAAAGAGAATGGAGAACATTGAGCAAAGAACTGAAAAGACAGATGAGAAAGTAGAAAATATTCAACGGATGATGATGAAATATGAAGACAGATTTTAAAAAATTGAAGAAGAAGATACGCAAAGAGACAAGAAAATTGGAGATATTGATACTTGATTGAGCGATGTTGAGAAGGGCAGGTGTGAACCATCAGGATGGGAAATTGATAGATCAGAATTCTACCTAAGATTTCAAAATGTAGAAGGAAAAGGTGAAAATCTTGCTGAAATAATGACAGAAATACTGGCAGAAATGCTAGAGATAACCAAAGAGAAGATGATGGATGAAGTATTCCATGTCTATACGAGATATGCAATGAGAAACAGACTACCAAGAGAAGTCCACATCAGATTTACTAAGAAGATTATTAAGACACAGATACTGCAGGTGGCAAGAAAGAAAACACTAAAATATAAAGACAAAGAAATTGTGGTGCTGAAATAGATACCAAGAAGAGTAAGAGAGATGAGAAGAGAATATTTATTCTTGACTAAAGAGTTACTTAAAAGAGGAGTAAACTACAGGTGGTTGATGCCAGAAGGCCTCTTTTTCACTTGGCAGGAACAAAGACGCAGAATTGACACAGTTGAAAAAGCTGAGCTATTCTACTTAGAATACTTTAGAGGAAAGGACAAAGAAGCAAGAAAGGATGAGTCATTAATTGAATTCCAAGAGTGTATAGCAGTAATTGAAAAAGAAAAAGAAGAAGGTGCAGTAGGCGGTGTACACAGAGAGCAACAAGAATTAAGATCTACTAGAGCAATAAAACCCCCTTATAAAGCTTAACATGGATGAAAGAAAATTGATTACGATTAACATAAATGGACTTAATTTGGCTACTAAAAGAAGGAAAGTATTTCACAAATTAGAGAAATTAAAATTTGATATAATCTGCGTACAAGAAGTACATATCAAAAAACAACATGAATATAGATTAAAACAAAAAAAAGGGAAATTATTTACGTTGCTGGCACAATCTTAAAAAAGGGGTGTGGTATGATATATTAAAGACACAATTTTGGCAGAACTAATCTATACAGATGACGATTGAAGGATTTTGATGATGGAAATAATGGACAATGACGTTAAAACACTTTTAATTGCAATTTATGCTCCGAACGATAACCAAGAAGAATTTTACAGGAAATTACATATGAAAATAATTGAATTGGACTATGTTAATATTTGTATGATGGGAAATCTCAATGGAATAATTAATGATCGGTTGGACTATAAAATGCAGAAATCAACAAAGAAAGCTAGAAAGATACTACCAAAATCTTTCTTTCGAATAACAGAAGAATTTAATTTAAAAGATGCATGGAGAGAGAGAAATGTGGAAAGTAAGCAATACACTTTGTATTCAAACAGGCATGCATCATGGTCTAGAATAGATATGATATGGATGTCAGCAGAATTACTGGCTAACATACGAGAGACTGAAATAGAAACAAGCACTTGGGCAGACCATAATCCAGTGACAGTTATTTGGAAAGGATACAAGAGGAGATCTAGATGGACTTTAAATAATATGATCTAAAAAGAAAAAGACTTTAAACAAAAAATAGAGAAAAAACTCTTTTTCTTTTTTAAAGAAAATAGAAAAGAGGATACATCTTTACAGAACCTCTGGGACACGATGAAGGCCTACACAAGAGGCTTGATAATAGACTATACAAGGAAAAGAAATATAAAACAGAAAAAGACTTTCAAAACATTGGAGGATGATAATAAAAGATTGGAAAAAGATTTACAGAAGTCCCCACAAAAAAAAGACATTAAAAATAAAATGGATATAATTAAACATAAAATGGGACTAATGGAAAAAGAGGAACTAGCACAAAAAATTAAAAATGCTAAACAGAATTACTTTGAAGACACAAACAAACCAGGCAGATGGCTAGCTTATAAACTGAGAAAGGAAAGAGAATCAAGAAGGATTAGTCAATTAATAAATGAAGAAGGACATGTTTGCTATGGAAATGAGGAGAAGAAAAAAAATTATACAAGATTACTATGGAAAACTGTATGATCAAGAGAATATTCAAGAAGAAAAAGTTAAGCAATATCTACAGAAAGCAAATTTACCTCAGATACCTAAAGATATTGAAACAATGTTAGAAGGGAATATAATGATGATGGAATTAACCTTAAAAAAACAGAATGTTGGGAAAGCACCAGGTCCAGATGGTTTGCCAGCGGACCTCTGTAAGACTTTTCAGGAAATGTTGAATCTTTACCTATTAGAAGTTATGAATGAAGTTATGCTAAAGAAAAGAATACCAAAAACATGGTCAGAAGCATATATTACACTTATACCGAAGGAGGATACAGACCTGCAGCAAGTTAAAAATTACAGACCAATATCCCTGTTAAATTCAGACTATAAAATTTTTGCTTCAATCTTGGCAGAAAGACTGAAAAGATATCTAAATAACTTTATCCATATTGACCAAAATGAATTTCTGCCAAAGAGACAAATCAAAGACAATGTGAGAATTATTTTGGATACTTTGGAATATTATGAAGCGCATCCTGAAAAGCAAATGGCCTTGATGTTTTTAGATGCACAATAAGCCTTTGACAATGTGAGTTGGAGATTCACTTTACTTCAATTGATACAAATGGGCTTTGGTAAAAAATTTATCCAAGCCATTGAAATGATACATCATAAACAAACTGCAAAGGTTATGGTAAATGGAGAATTAACCGAATCTATAGATATAAGAAAATGGACAAGGCAAGGTTGTCCACTGTCACCTCTGCTGTTTGTGTTAACATTGGAAGTGTTGAATAGGAACATCAGAGAAGAAAAAGAAATAAAAGGAATGAAAATCAAAAAGGAAGAGTATAAATTGCAAGCTTTTGCAGATGACCTAGTATTCATATTAGAAGATCCATTGGAAACAACACCTAAATTAATAGAAAAAATAGAAAAATATAGAAAAGTAGCAGGTTTGAAAATAAATAAAGATAAAACAAAGATATTAACAAAGAATATGTTAGCAAGACGAAAGAAAGAGTTGGAATAAATTTTAGAAATACAGGTCACAAACAAGGTCAAGTATTTAGGGATATATATTACACCAAGATGTAGCACACTGAAGGAGGATAACTATGTTGAACTCAAACAGCAGATTGCGATAGATCTGATAAAATGGGAAAAACTACAACTATCATTGATTGGAAGAATTTCTACAATTAAAATGAATGTATTGCCTAGAATTTTATATCTATTCCAGACAATTCCTATTTGATTAGGGAAAGAGTTTTTTGAAGATTTAAATAGAATTGTACTGAAATATATTTGGCAGGGTAAAAAAGCAAGAATAAAATTAAAACTGTTACAAGATGCAAGAATAAGAGGAGGATTTGCCTTGCCCAGTTGGGAGTTATATTACCAGACGAAAAGTTTGATGTGGGTAAAGGAATGGATAACATTAAGGAACAGTAGACTATTGACCTTAGAAGGGCATGACTTGCTGTTGGGATGGCATGCTTTCCTCTGGTATAAGGGAACTAAAACACAGGGGTATTTTAGAAGACATTATATTCGAGAGGCACTGTTTTTTAATTGGGAGAAGATAAAAAGACAATACTACTTAAAAATTCCACAATGGATATCTACCATTGAAGCTTTTTCTTATCCAATAATATATAAAAAGGAACAAACAGTTAGATATGGTGAGATATTGAATGAAAAGGGTGAACTTAAATCTATGCAAGCGTTGGAAGAACAAGGTGTAAAAATGAATTGGCATATATTTGCAAATACAATCTAGATTTGATAAAGATTCTAAAACAGAAGGTATTTATAATAAATTGACTGATTTAGACAAAATTTTGATGGGTACTGATGAAAAGGTAATTAAAAAATTTTATGGACATTTATTAGAATTTAAACTGGAGGAGGAACAAGTTAAACAAACGATGATTGCTTGGGGGAAAATTTTGGATATGGGATTGACTTAGAAAAATGGCAAAAATTGTGATCTCAAAACTATAAAATGACAATGTCAACTGCTTATAAAGAAAATTTGTATAATATGTTTTACAGGTGGCATCTACCCCTGATGAGAATCGCGAGAATGTTTAAGAATAAATCGGATAAATGTTGGAAATGTCATCAGATACCTGGTTCATATTATCACATGTGTTGGACATGCTCGGATGCAAAAAAATATTGGACTAAAATCCACACGTGGTTGGAAAAAATGATAAAACAACATATAGACTTTAAACCAGATATCTTTTTATTGGAAATCATACCGGAAATATACAACAAAGAGCTGAAATATTTGATTGTAAATGTTTTAACAGCGGCTAGAATTGCATTTGCTAAAAATTGGAAAAATGATAACATACCTATGCAGGAGGAAGTTATTAAGAAAATTATGGACTGTGCTGAAATAAGTAAATTGACATTTGAAATCAGAGAACAAGAAGATAAACAATTTTATATGATATGGGATTTATTTTATCAATGGTTGGATAAAAAGGCATGGTAATGTAACAGAACAGATAATTTTCTTATAGAAGTTTAATAGATTGATTTAAAGTATAATGTAGACATATATAATGGATGAAAGCACAATATAAATTTTAAAATAAAATTTGGGATATCTCGTATACAATGATTGAATAAATAGTTTAGTCATGGATGATTAAGAATTGATAAATATATAAGCATATGTTAGTTTGACAATGTGAAATTTATATAAACTGTGAGTAACGACTATGAAAGGATTGCACAAAAGATTTGTAACCAACTGACACACTGTATGTATATAAAATGGAAGATGGTTTTATGTTTTTATGTATTGTTTGTATATGTTTGTCTTAAAAAATAAAAACTTAAAAAAAAACAGTAAAAAAAAGCCATAACTGAAGTTGCATGCCAAAGGTATAGTTTACTAAAGGTCAAGTGAAATACAGTAAAGCAAAGCCAGAACTGCAGTTCGCGAGCCAAAGGTATAGTTTACTGAAGGTTAAGTGAAATACAGTAAAGCAAAGCCAGAACTGCGGTTTGTGAGCCAAAGGTATAGTTTACTGAAGGTCATGTGAAATAATATAAAGCAAAACCAGAATGGAGGTTCGCTCACCAAAAGTATAGTTTAACAGTAAAGCAAAGCCAGAACTGAGGTTCGTGCGCCAAAGATATAGTTCACTGAAGGTCAAGTGAAATACAGTAAAGCAAAGCCAGAACAGTGGTGCGCGCCAAAGGTATTGTTTACTGAAGGTCAAGTGAAATACAAAAAAGTAAAGCCAGAACTGAAGTTCAAGCACCAAAGGTATAGTTTACTGAAGGTCAAGTGAAATACAGTAAACCAAAGCCAGAACTGAGATTCGCGCGCCAAAGGAATAGTTTACTGAAGGTAAAGTGAAATAGAGTAAAGCAAAGCCAGAACAGAGGTGCGCGCCAAAGGTATTGTTTACTGAAGGTCAAGTGAAATACATTAAAGCAAAGCCAGAACAGAGGT